TACTGAACATAGATCATTGTTTTTAATAATTGTATGTACCATCTCTGTCTTGCATTGATCAATGAGCGTTTCAGAATTTCTGTTGTTATATTTCGTAACCTGGTTATGACATAGTATATAATATCAATATCAGGTTTAGGATTGGGCCGGGGATGGGGTCCGTTTTTTTCTAATTTCAAAGTATTTACCCGAGTTTTAGTACTTTTATTGATGAGCCCGAGTGCTGAGTAGATCCAACCTATAACTGAATCAATTTAGTGATAATTTGGTCTCTGATGGGAAATACAAAAACACTACTTATCCTATAATGGGATATGGTTTTTGAGGTGAAAATGGTCTCTGATGGGGTCTGGGAATTTACTTCCCGGCTGCACACCCCCACCAAAACAAGAGACCAGTGACCCCTCGGGGTCATGCATCCTTGTACAGTCCTTGCACAGACGTATTGTATAGGTTAACCCCAGCAGATTTTCCTTGCCACAAACCTGGTAGCCAAAAAACAATGTAAACGAATCCATTACGTCTATCATGTCATGGATAATGCCTATCATGTCGTGACAAATGCCTATCATGCTGTGTCGAATGCCTATCATGTCGTGGCAAATGCATATCATGTCGTGGCAAATGCCTTTCATGTCGTGGCGAATGCCTATCATGTTATGGTGAATAAGTACCATGCCGTGGTGAATGCCTATTATATTGTGGAAAATGAGTGCAATGTGACGGCGAATGCCTAACATGCTGTTGTGAATGCCTATCACGTCATAGCGAATGCCTATCACGTCATAGCGAATGCCTATCATGTCACGGCGAATGCCTATTACGTCTTGGCAAATGTCTATCATGCCTATCACGTCATAGCGAATGCCCATCACGTCATGGTGAATGCCTATCATGTCGTGGTGAATGCCTATCATGTTGTGGCGAATGCCTATCACGTCATGGCGAATGCCTATCATGCCATGGCGAATAGCTATCATGTAATGGTGAATGCCTATCACATTGTGGTGAATTCGTATCATGCCGTAGCGAATGCCTATCATGATGTTGTGTATGCCTATCATGTCATAGAGAATGCCTATCACATTGCGGCTAATGTATATCATGTCATGGCGAATGAGTAACATGTCTTGGCGAATGCCTAACATGCCAAGGTGAATGCCTATAACGATGTGCAATCAAGTACCATGTCATGGCAAATGCCTAACATGCCGTGGCTAATGCCCATCACTTTGTGGCGAATGCATATCATGTCATTGCGAATGCCTATCATGTTGTGGCAAATGTCTATCATGCCGTGGTGAATACCTACCATGTTGTGGCGAATACCTATCATGTCATGTTGAATGCCTATCACATTGTTCCGAATGCCTATCATTCTGTGGCGGTTGCCTATCATGTCGAGGCGAATGCTTATCACATTGTTCTGAATGCCTATCATGTCGTGGCAAATGCCTATCATGTGGCGAATGCCTATCATGTCATGGCGAATGCCTATAATGTGGCAATTAAGTATCATGTCGTGGCAAATGCCTAACATGCCATTGCGAATGCCTATCTTGTTGTAGTGAATGTCTATCAAGTCATGGCAAAAGTTTATCACGTCATGGCAAATACCTATTATGTGGTGGCAAATACCGATCATGCCGTGGCGAATGCTTACCATGTCATTGTAGCAAATGCCTATCATGTCGTGGTAAATGCCTATCATGTTGTGGCAAATGCCTATCATGCCGTGGCGAATGCATATCATGTTGTGGCGAATGCCTATCATGTCGTGGCGAATGCCTATCATGTCGTCGCAAATACCTACATGTCGTAGCGAAACAATATTTACCTATCCAATCCATAGTTCTTCTCATATAGAAGACGAAAGCATTGAACTTACAATATCCCATATTAACGGGACAACATTAATTCCGAATATTAGTAGTATTATCTTGTCCGCTCTGATCGTTTCTCTAAAATTCTTAAAATTATATTATTATCAAAATGCAGTGAGTAATGTTCAAATAAATATCATTATTGTTTCAAGCAATGCGATATTTGAATCCAAAGATTCATGAACTTGAGTTTAATCGGTTATCCGTCACATAAAGAAATGAATGGAGGCCGCTGCAAATATCAATGTAGTACACAACTGCCGACGCTGGCTCTATCAATTACACTTTCCACACGCTTCGTTACAGAGTAACAATATCATCATACCTTCAGGTTTGTTTAGGGTAACTTCCGGTTTCCTTCTTTTCTCGGGAAATCAAAAAAGTCGTCATTCGGTTCAAGTTGTATCACTTCTTCAACGAGTATGCCGCCTGCCCACACACTCCCAATAGTAGAATTCAATCATGGATGAGCCTGCGCACGAGTTACCAGTTACTTGAATACGCAAAATACATTAATGTCCACCGTCGCTTACAAAAGTGATCTCAAAATATTTGCAAAGAAGTAGCAAACTTATTTATTGTTCAATATGTTTTCATATTGTATTTATTGTATTAATTAAATTTCTAAATAACAATTGAATGGTTATGTATTATTAGAGGCTTAGAGGAGCTCGTTTAAATTATACGCAAATTCGTACGGGTGCGTGGTAATCACCGTATTAGAATTCAATGCTTCACCAATAGCATAAGAACTGTAAAGACATTGAATTCAATAATTAGATCACAGGGAATCAATGTCTGTTTAGCGCAGCGTCATCCAGCTTACTAACTCGAACATTGATAACAACACCGTGCATGTTTAATTACATCGGTTATTAAACTTGTGACAGGTACGCACACTCGCAAAATACTAATATTGGTGAATTTGTCGCTACATGCACAGTATGACTTGCTGACAAGTATGACGTGTGTGAGCATTTATTCCAATAAATATACTGCATACGGGCAGTAATAAGTAGTGTGTACATTATAGATGCATACCATAGACGGCATACTAAAGTGTCCCGTATATAATCGGATGTTTTAGGTTGAAACATTGCATGTGTGTTTTCTGAAATGCCTCAAAATAAAACAGTTTTTTTTAGTTACACTGTTGAAATTGTGTACACGTCGTATACATAAACACTTATAAAACATGCATAGTCGAGTGTTTTACCTTGAAACATTACATGTGTGTTTGTTTTAGGAAGTGTTTTATGATAAACAATCTGTAAGAAAAGTGTTTTAGTTACACTGATGACAGTGTGAACATGTCGTATACATAAACACTTAGAAAGCATGCATAGTCGAGTGTTTTACCTTCAAACATTACATGTGTGTTTGTTTTAGAAAGTGCTTCACGATAAATCAATTTAACAATTTGGAAAAAGAGTGTTTTAGTGTTTTACTCTCATAAACAAAAGGAGACTAACACTTTGTAAAATATTTATAGTCCGGTGTTTCGGGTTGAAAGATTGTTAGTGATGTTGATGCCTGGAGTGTTTCAAATTGAACATTGTTCGGGACAAATCACATGTTTAAACCACATGTGAGAATACTCAGATGTGATTGGAACTACAACTACCGTTCACCAAATGCGGATTAATAACATCCATTAGGTCACGAGGTACTTATATTATGTCTAGTTGTACTTAGGTTGGTAAGACCATATAGGTTGGTGCTTGACATAACATTATTTTCTGGAGGTAATCTCATTGTGCGTTGAAATTGAATTACGTCACTTTCGGTGATTGTCTAGTTGGCATATATAGCATAATGCTTACGCACGAGTCCCCAGATTTTTCACTCAATTTTGTTAATACTGCTTGCATAAAGTTGGATGCATTAGCCCACAAATGTTCTTTCATTAAACACTTTAAATACACATTTATGTCACCGTAAAACACTCAGTGTTTTATTTTGAAAAAGTGTTTTTTTGTTTGTTTACAATGTGCTTAGTTTTCATCAAAAAGTGTTTCAATGACTCCCTGAAACACTTTTCTAAAAATACTAAAACACTCCTGTTTTGATAGAAAATACAAGTGTGTTATTATATAATACACATGTTTTTAATCACAACAGTGTGTTTTCAATTAAAACGGTGTGTTTTAATGAAAAACATGAAAATGCTTTCAAGATTTAGTGTATATGGACAATAGCAAGTAGAATACACCAACATCAGATTGTATTTAGGTTATTGTCGAATACGCAGCCACATTAGGTTGCGTAAATTTTCACATGTAAGACAATCATAAACAAAATTCTTTATGTTAAATCACTAACCGACTGTATATCTTCCTAAACCATTAAGTGATAAAAATAGGGTGAACACTAATGTCTTTATTTGGAATTGAATGAATTCATATTTTGGAATAGTTTGATAGAGGGAAATCTCACGCAATCAGAGCATTTCAGGTCAAATGAGTTGATTGTTTGTAAAACGAGTCTCAATAAATTGCAGTAACAGTATACACACAGCAGAGTAAATACTATTTTAATTAAAGTAAACACGAAATGGGGAAAGTGTGCCGGATATGGTTTTGATTGAGCAGGGTATCGACACGGAGATGAACAGAATGGAAATGCAAAAATGACTAACACTTATTTCATTGCCTAATTAAACAAGTAAAAGAAAGAAAGAAAATCCTTCATAAACAATCCAAATCATAACTGGGAGCTCTGACTGTTTCTTACAATATCACGTGATACAAATGTATTGTGCTAAGTGCGTCTATACAATGGCCGTTGCGACCCAACGGCGTCGAATGCAAAACCGTTCAAATTGTCGTCGAAATAGTGTATAACAATTTATAAACAATTTGTTGATTTTCATGTGATATTAACAACATGACATCTGCATGACAGTCGTTCAATATATATTATTGAAATACATATTCACTTTGCCATTTTTCAAAGCATACACTAAAAATGCGATATTTGTCAAATTTATCGAAATTTTATTTTATGATAGCAAACAAAATCCCACTTCAGCTTGATCGATATATATATATATATATAATTGTCCAAATAACTATTATGTTTTCTTAACAAAGCAGAAGTGCCCCCTAAAGAAGAGTAATGGACTTTATTGACTCTGCGTTGTGGGCTTCTGTTGGTAAGTTTGTTTTATTTATTAGTCTGGTGATATTCCATACGCATATGCGTAGCCGACATGCCTGTCAATTAGAAGAGGTGACACCGGACGGAAATACAATAGGACAATACTTATTTCTATATACGTTATTATACTGATATGACTTATAAGTATGGGCTTTTAAAGAATAAATAAATAGCAAAACCGAAATGTGTGATTTCGGAACGGAACATCATTCGTGGATGGATTGGAAATAGATCACGTGGATTGGAATATTTATCTCAAAATAAATCTTATTAAACTTTTCATAAACTTAAAAGCATACGAATGAATTAAGAATGAAGTGATGATCTTTCATTCTCAGTTACGTTGCTGCTGTTTGTTTATGCCGGCTTTGCCACTGGGGATGACACATCAATGATTTCTGCCATAGGTAAGATTCTTACTTCTACGATTATGGAAATACTGAGATAGTAAAGTGTTCATGAATATCTTATCATGATCGGAATTTAAACAGATTCCCAAAGTTATAAGTTTGAGAGTAACAGTTAAAATGTAATACAGGTGGAAGCGGTTTGTGTGCACATATTTTAAATTTGTTAATAGATGCGCGAAGAAAATACCATTTTGCACATTTGCATCATTGGTCTTGATCTTGTTGATACAATTGATAGTGCATGTATTTATTTCAATATATATGTAGTTATATTTCATTTTAAATGCTGCTACATGCCGTATGTTCTAAAAGTACATGCAATTACACAGGCTATGGGATCGAGGGATATAATATCCTCCTCTATGGCAGGACAAACATGATTTCTTTGGAAAACATATGCAAATTATTAGTTTTTCATGGGAAGCTAACAATATAGAACGGAGAACATTCACCACTCAGTGTGTTCTTTTAAATAAATGTAAAACATCAAACATACTAGATCCGGTAACTGCAGAGATTCGAAATATATATTGTCATATAATATACATCTGTATTTGAGTATGCTACTCATAAACAATTATATTCCGTTCAAGCACAGTTTCTATATACCATGTCCCACCAGATGTGTTGCACGAAGGTTCATCATGCGTTGAGTAAGTGCGTGCTTGCAAGAATGTGCAAATGGGTGTATGAGCGTGAGAAAACAAATGAACAACCATGTTTTGTTTAGAGTGCTACACAGAGCCCGACGGCATGGACTACAGAGGTCATGTTTCCCAAACTCAAAATAAGTTAACATGTCAGAAATGGACACACAAGTCGCCACACAGTCACTACCACACTCCAGAAAACTTCCCACACACTGGACTAGGAGATCATAACTATTGCCGCAACCCAGACTACGGCGAAGACGTGGTGAGTGTCTACCACGGGCCTTGGTGTTACACGGAAGATATAAACACGCGATGGGATTACTGTGATGTGGGCGAGCGTCAACAGCACTGTGTTCGAGGTGAGTAGCTTTAAAGGGTAGCATGCTACAAATCTTATACAGTCTTTTAGTATTTGTTACATGTATTCGAAACACAACTATTTTTAGAAACCACCTCACATGTCTTACCGGAATTACCGTTCTCAAATTGGGTGTCACCTACGTCCAACCAAGACAATGTAGCGGACTTAAACGCTAAATGTGACTGAATTATATTTCAGATGTATGCGTACAAGTTGACCCATGTCTTAATGGCGGCACCTGCGTCGACGAAGGCGAAGACTTTCGTTGTAACTGTAGTCCAGGTTTTCTAGGAAGATTTTGTAACTTTCGTAAGTTTGGTTTTTTTTTTAAAACAATTGTTGTGGGTTAGGCAATAGTGAATGACACTTTTGTATCACTTGGCCTATTTTTAAACAGGGTCCGACTGTGCATATGCTTCACCCAACCACATAAACCGTATTTGTAATTTCTATTTTTGGGACTACGTGGTAGAAACATATGTATGGCCCCCGCATTATAGCAGTTTAATGCCCTGTCATGAACTTTAACAACGATTTCTTATAATTCGCGCCCGTTAATCAATGCACTATGATCGGTGCCTCCGATCCTCCCATAGACTCTGCTTCTCAAAAAGTACGGGTCGAACCGTTCTCGCTGTTTCACTTCACGGTTCTGGTGAAACAACCACTGTGTAAACAGTAATCTGTAGTCATTATTTGCATCAATAAACTTGTGCTTCAATGCTTATTCTTATTAACTTAATGATTGGTTGGAGAGCCGAGTTGCGCTTCTTATTAAACATGCTTAATTATATTATTTTACTTTTACAGCTAATGTTTTTCAAGCACAGTTGTCTGGAACAATGGAAGACTTTGGAGACGCCCAACAACTGTGTGATTCGATGGACGCGGATATAGCAAACTATATTCAGTTGGATAGATCATGGAGCGATGGACTGGACACATGTGAATGCGGCTGGCTTGTCGACAGCTCAGCTCGCGTAGCTGTACACACACTCTCGGATAGATGCTCGTTCGACTTTGAAGGAATTCACGTCTGCGGTACTTATCCATCTGCACAGGTTATGTTGGTGTACTGTTTTCCACGTCTGAATGAAGGTTGGTAGAGCTCGATATTTAATTCATATACTTAGAATGGTTTGTTTAAAGGTTAAATGTAGTCTAAATGTGAAACCGAATCCAGTGTCATGGTATGCATAACAATGTTTTATCAATATGAAATCATAGAAACATTGCGACAAAACATAATTCGATGCTTATATCGTTGAACAATGGTTACAATTGTATGTGTGACACATTTTGCTGAAATATTTGAAGAGATATATCCTATCACGTTATGGCCTTCTCCATGCTATCAATCCGTGAATAAGAAAAACACCCTAATATTGTGATATAAAATACAGAGAGGGCCTTTGTGGGGCTACTCTGTATTCTGGAGCTGAGAGCGAATCTTCAATATAGTTTCAATAATAGATGTCTCTGGTTGTGTGCTTATCTGATAAGTTTTCACCTTTCAGCTCGTCCGCTGTCACCGGGTGGGGATCGTTTGGTGAAAGTATATCACCACAACAGTGGCAGTGCAAGAAAGGAAATATACCGGTAACAAATACAATAAATAAAAAAAACACTATATAAGGTTTTCTTCATTTTAATAAATAACAAGTCATTGTTGATGCCACAGTCCCCGTCCAATATTTTGTGATCTGACATATCAATTTGATGCCGATGAAGTCATTGAGATTAAATTGAAAGCATTAATAGGTAATGGATTTAAAAAAAAATATGATTGAGTGTTTTTACACAGAATTGGACGTTGGACAGTCATATTGAATCAAATTACAAAAATAATGTTTATGTTGATGTATCTATTGGTATACTGTCTTTGTACACAATTTAAACAGAACTGTTCATTGCATTCAAGAGAAAGTAGCATTGGTATTATGGAAAACAAAATGGCCGCCAGTCGGCCATGTTTGTTCGAATCACAAACAAAAAATGACGTGCACCTACAACCAAATATGTATGATCATCTTACCAACTTTGATGCAAATCGGCCCAGTCATCTCCGAGAAACTGTTGCGGACACGTTTAAGTATCAGAAATGACAAATTTTACATCCAAAATGACCGCGAGATATAGCTCCGGACGTACGGAACGAATCCAAATTAATAGTTCCCGTTTTCGTACTTCGGCCGAACGGGGACTCAATAGTACGGGATAAATAGTCACTAGTACAATTTAAACACGTGCTCTGAGTTCAGCGAGTATCGGCAGCTGTACTGCTATCTGCTGCCACTTGTGGCACCGGTACAACCGGAGCATTTCGGGCAGTGAGCCTCAGTGGTGCATGTTGATCAGCAGGGATTATTCCACAGCATATTATGATTATTCTGCATATGTAACCCTGTATAGGGTACAGCTCACGGAAGTCAGGAATCAACATCACAGGATGTTACAGCATCAAGTCAGGTCACCTCCGTGACTGAAGTTTTTTACCTATGTTGCAACTTAAATACTACAACTAAACCATGGCCACGCAAACAATAAAATGTATTCAACGAAATGATTGTTTATCTCGAAATAGCGGACAAATCAGTAAATATAGAATAGTAGAATGAACCACTTTTTATTTAAGCTCTACCAATTTAAAACAGGAGACTGGGGTCAATGATGTAATATCTATTGTCATTGCCACAACACCGGGCTCAGCACATTCCAATGTATTTCACAATCACCATGCCACTGTCTGCGACATGCCAGTATGCCACAGTGGAGACAGAATGTATGTATATCAAATTCTGCTGACAACACAATCCAGTGACTATATCAGCAGTCTCAAAATAAACATGTGCAATGGGTTGTTGCAAAGTATCCAAACATGTGTGCTTTTCATTCACACAGCAAGGGCTCTGTTTTCTAAAAAGTACTTTTCACTTACAATTTATGTCACAATATACATTTTGAATCAGCATATATTCGCTTCCAGGTGTAAAGTGGAGAGGCGACTGGCGTTGTGGCACTGCACTGGCATCGGGTGCAGCCGAAGCCATATGTGATCCTGACGGGCAAAGTCCCTGCTGTTCTTCCGTTGGATGGTGTGGATATACTAGTGCTCACTGTGACTGTGATGAGTGCTTCGATTCTTCCACTGTCGTGGGTACGTACTTTGTGTTTGGATTTCGCCAGGTAACCTTTGAAACGAGCTGATAAAGTATTCACAGATTTTATTCAAATATACGACCATTCTGATCGATTACGGATTTATTTCAATGAATGATAGTCGTATTGAAAATTCAATGTAATAACAAGTGAATTACCTAGAGGTAATAACGATGTGTTACGATGTTACAACAAAGGAAACGTTGTATATATATACCTATTATCACCAATGTGTATTCGACCATTGTCTTATCTCAGTCATTCTATTTTGACAATTGCATTTAACCTTATTACTAATATTCTAGAACAAATACAAGAGAAACGTGGTTGGATATCACACCCTAATCTGGGCAGTTACCCGCGAAATATGAATCGACATTGGATTGTAACAGTAAGAAAAGGTAAATAACTTGTATAGACAAACCTTCAAAATGTTTACAGTACTATGAATGGTGAATTCAATTGTATATTCTACCTCCGAAATCAGTACAAAATCATCACAACTGATTGTACAAAATATGCCATGAGATAATTCATAATTGTTTTGTCCCATTTTACTAGGTATGAGGATAGCAGTAATGTTTAAAAAGTTTCATCTTCAACGATCATGTATTAGTGTTAAAGATACATGTTTTATGGATTATGTAGACATCCATGACGGCGCCGTTACAAACCACACTAGAATTTTCCATTACTGCGGGGACCAACTACCACCCAAGGTGAGCTTTTCATTCTTACTGAAGATTCAAGGACCATGTTCGATGGTACGTGACCATCAATTTACAGGGAAGACTCGCTTACAGAAATACTGTACAGCGTGGTATTTGTTTCTATCATTCTGTATCATCGCTCGATATACATATATAAGGTTGTCGCAAATGATCATTTCCACAGATGCATAGCATCACAAGGTCTTAGTGTGTCATTATTAAAGATTGGAGTAGACATAAACTGTCTATTCCTAAACAATCGCAAAATCAATTTACAGATTTTCATGATAAAACAAGTATTGCTTGTTTAATGCCTTTTGACATTTTTTTTATTTCGACCAAATTCATTCCCACTACATCCATACATATGTGTATTGGTGTATGACAAATTGTTTCGTATTGTCCACTGTGAAGTAGCTAATATGCACTAAATTGCAGCAAATGTATTAACAAATAAATAACAATTGAGTTTACTATTGCAACAACCACTTATAGTAGAACCATCCGGATTATTACTTCCACAGGAATATATTTTCAGTTCGCAGAATGAAATATCAATAATCTTTCACAGTGATGCTGAAATAACAGGTCGTGGGTTTTCACTATACTACGAGGAATATGGTAAGTACGATGTTAAAAGAGCGTAAATATATATTCTCAAATGTGAGTGACATTTATTGTCATTATTATTTACTTGCATTTGTGCTCATATCGAGGAAGTCGTAGATGAGTTACCTGTGGTATTACGTTACGTAAGTTCTTAATAATGTCTTTGAGAGGAAAACACGTTTACTGTCTGCTTGTCGTATCTTTAGTTGCGTTGAGTGTGTCTCCTAGTTATGTCGTAGATTAAATCTTTCTGTCAGCTGAAATGACAGAAACAACACAAGTGCGCTGAATATAACTATGCTCGATTAATGAGACTTTCGTCTATGTATTAATTGTTGCGTCTACACAGTGCAATTGATGACACATCGCATACATACTATTGCGTTCACATGTATTTATGCGGAATGAATACAGGGAATACTGATCAATCAAAATATTATTGAGTTCCGTTGCCTCTTCAAGGTTTATCAGCGTGTCAACGTTCGATTGGTTACAACGCCTTACCCAACTCAATGACCACCAATATTCCACTGAGTAATGAAGTCACCTTTATTGACAAGAATCTCCAGATGTCTTGCTCGGGGCGTGTGGTTGCATGGTATTTTGAGAATGATCAGACGAGTACTTCTGCTGTGCGTCTTGGAATCTATCGACATCAGGACGGAGACACATACGTGCTAATTGGACAAAATGTTATTAGTTTTCCTTATCTAACAGTAGGGGAACACTTGGTTAATGTCTCTGAAAACGAACAGATTAGCTTTGAAAAAGGCGATTACATCGGTGAGGACTGTGTAAAGGATTGTAATTATTGTAAAAAGAATTGTATAATTCCATTGTGTAATTAATTAATTATTAACTTGTAGATACAAACGTAGATACGAATGTGAATATATATATCGTAAACGAATAAGTGACTGGGTGATAATTATAAAGTTAGAATATGTCAGCACTGTAACAAATGTATATGAAATAACGTCTATTATAGGTTGGTATTGTGATACGATTTGTCCATTTTTCACTGCAATGCGTGACACTTGTGTGGACGGTCTTAATATAGTACATACTGACTCACTAAGCGATATAAATTCAACTGTAATAAAAGCATCCAGTGTGCTGAATACGTCTTTGTCCATGGCTTTGGCTGCTCATATAGCATCGAATGGTAATTATAAACTTTCATATTTGTTACAACTGACATAAACTGAGCTTTCTGTTGATGTAATCAATTTGACATAGATAAAAATAAAAAAAAAATTATGACAGTAAAATTAAAATTAGCTGGCCCATTCAAGGCACAGATCAAATCATTTGATAGAGAGAATGTATACAATCTAAATCATATCCCAGCTACTTTTGTTTTTTTCAGTTTGTCAAAGTGACGAGTCGAATCTCGAATTGGATAGAAACGTGGCCATTCACGTGGATTGCATGAGTTCATTTGCATCGATTAATCACCCAGGTCAATACTATCCAAATGATTACTACTCCTGGGACATACGTGTACCAGAAGGAGACGTTGTTGGCATCTCATTCGTTGAGTTTGAGTTGGAAAACCGAACGCCCACAGGACAATGCCTTGACTATGTGCGACTAAAAGAAGGTATATGACTATAGTAATAAAATCATTTCTCCATAATGTATGTAATATAGCAGTGTGAAACTGTGTTTATATCTCCATATACTGTGTAATAACAACCTCTGCAATCTGATTGGTCCATGCAAGCAGACTGAACTTTTTATATCGTCATGACTGACTATCACGCAATACACCAATATCTTACGATATTAGTGGTTTTATACAATATTTCTTGAATTATTCTTAAGAACTACATTAATTCAAACAAGAAAACATTCGGAAAAGCTGACATTTCAACTAATATGGCCCTGCATTTGTATTTATTGGATTCTTACTATATCTTCAAATGTTGTTTTTATGACAACCAGATCTACAACTCAACCAACATTCAATTGAACTACAACTCTACCAACATTCAACATGAATTGGTCACTGCAACAACATCAACCTCTTCTGAAAATTAAATCCCAAAGTTGTTATTTCCATGGTAAATCTGCCCATATATTTATCAAAATGTAATTGGTTGAAGGGCAACCAATCTTAGAAATTGTAATACTTACATTTTAAATAATTTTGGCAGTGGTAATAATTCTGATATTTTCAGACGTTGACTATAACTCTTGTTTGACATAAAGCCGCACATTTTGGAGACATCATCTCAAACTACTTTAACGTTAACTACTCTGAACACAAAAATATTTTTCACCATTTTTCTTTTCTCCATTTCTCTCTCGCCAATTTCATGCAGAGACACTCATGAGATTTGCCCTATGGTCTCGGTCTTCGTTTATACCAATTATATTGCTGTATTGAATAACTTATTCGTGCCGACGTTATCGTAACGAACGCGTAATACTCAAAAACGTCTAGCTATTTTTAATAGTTACATGTATTTAGGACTACGATTACCAAATATTATCTTCTATATAGCGTAATACTTTGATTGTATATTGATTATCTTGTTATTTGCTTTGCTAGTCATATCATCATGTTTTAGAATATATCAAGTTTAAGAATATATCATATTATATATGTGATTGAAAGTAGTTTTCATGATTCAAAATTGTTTCTGCATAACCTTTACAAATGTGTACGAATTTAGGAAAAATAGACAGTAATTGTGATCACATTTGATTTAAAAGAAAATAAAACACAATTTAAACTTTACTTTATTTTTATTTTTTTTCATTATTGAGAGTCAATTAAGATGCGTTGTGTTATATCGTGTACGTTGACATAATAGATAAATACATGCACGAAAATCGTATCAAAAACATCACTTAGTATATTGACTGTTTAATTCCATAGGAGCTAATGGTACTACTACTATAATAGGAGATGACATTTGTGGTAATGATAATATTCCTGCCGCAACGTCATTTGGAAATGCATTAACAGTGGAATTTTCAACAAATGGTATGAACAATTATCATGGATTTGTAGCAGAGATTATGAGCTGTGGTAAGTTCCACTATTAATTAACCCAAGCAGACGCTCCATGGTTATCGTATATGTTCATGGGATAATTTCCCTTGATGTTTTCTTCATCGAGCTCAAATGTGTTATCATAATACATTTATCAATTTTGTGGTTGTCGCCGACCAGCAAAGTGATATAAAAAAACTACTAAAATGTAATACTAATGAAAAATCATGATTTGAATGCATCTTTGTTGATGTTATTATTTAGCCCGAACACTGCCAAACGTTACTATTGCTCTTGTCGACACCGGGCATTATTTATTGTTTATTAAACAAACGTGGTTAACGACCATACTAACTATTCATTGTATATTAATAGGATGTGAATGTGATATGTATGGTTCTAGTGGCAACATTCAATCTTCAGTCACCAATTCCAACAGAAGAGTCGACAAAAGTGGAATGGTTACCTGTACATGGAACATTACTGTTCCCAATGACCACGGAATAGAATTGAATATTGCTCAAAGCCAGTTACGTAATAGTTCAAATGATGGTGGCAACTGCGAAAACAGTCTAGAAATCCTAAATCAACATTCGAAAATGATAGCGAAGATCTGTTCGCCGGATGAGCTTATTTCAAAATCATTGATCTCAATATCTACAAGTCAGACTATTATCAATATGCAGATGAAGGATGACGTCACAAAACTGATTGCTACATTTCAAGCAGTTCCCAAGACTCAAAGTTAGAAAAAGGTCTTGCAAAATCAGTATCGAATATATTGTTATCATCCTTTTTGGTAGATTTTATGCAATATGGACGAAGTCAAGTACTTTGAATATTTTTGTTCGATACTCTATACTGTATACTGAATCAGTACAGAAAGAGTTTTCGTTACTCACAATTGTATCCGTTAAATTGAAAATCTAAGTCACCAACACACGTGTGCATAGTTTGCTATTGTACGTACCAAAACAAAACGTATTATAGAAATGTTATTGTTTCATGGAATGAACATTCAGAGGTCTGTTTACAAGAACAATGTCATAAATTATCATAAATCATAGCCCAATATCATCTGTATACATTCGTAACAGCAATACTGACAATTGTATGTTGTCGTTCATCTGTTCATAATTAGATTGCAATATGATATTGACCAACGAATCGGGAGAGATACAATCGCCGAACTATCCAGGGCATTATCCACATAATGTCAGGTGTTCATGGTCAATAGATGCAGGAATAGGACACGCCATTGTTGTCCGATTCATAGAGCTGGCACTGGAAACTGCTGACCACAGCGAATGCAGTGACCAACTATTGCTGTATGAAGGTTACATTGTATCCACACATCCGATTGTGGAACCTCTGTGCTCCTTCAGCGAAAACTCAACTCGTGACGTGGTGTTGAGTGAACAATGGTTGTCTCTGGTATTCACGAGTGATTCCACAATAGCTGGTACAGGTTTCTTCTTGGAATACCAACGCATTGCACGTGAGTACAACATGTAACTACTGACAGTGTCCATCTACTAGATCCTAAGACATCGACCGTTGTTTGAAACACGTGTAGATGATAATGTTAACAGCATGAGATTTTACTCTGTATGTATAGGTGCATGTCCACCAGGCTACTCCATGGGGTATGGAGTGACAAACAAAGTTGGTATAGCGCACGTTTCAAATGTCAGCAATACCAGCATTCAGACATCATAGTATCTGATACCGAAGAGGAGCACTTGTGGCTGAGGGCATTGTTTGAAGAATCCGTCTCCACTGACAAACTATGGATAGGTATGCCCTGTTTAATTCTTTACATAGATACAAGATTTGGTACACCGATGGAATGTGCAACGATTATTGCAATTGTTGACGAATATTGTTTCATATTAAAATGCAAAACTCTATTGCGGCACATTTCCGTTGAAATTTATGTTAAATTGTTGAATAATAGTACATCTTTGTCAAATACTGTAAAGCCATGGCTACTAACAGTGAGGGCGACAGCGTGTTCAATACATGGTGGGCGACGCCTGCCCACGTTTGGACCTTATAACACCTGACCGGGAATTAGTGAAATTATATATATGTATATATATATATATATATATATATATATATATATATATATATA